AAAGGGAAAGAGGGGGGGGGGGGTGGGGGGAGGAGTGAGTAAGGGATTGGAATGAAGGGGGAGATTTAAAACAGAGCGCATTATCTTATCTCCTTATTATCAATATTACCTGCTGCGAGGGTAGGCAGTTATTCAGAGAATTTTGTTTAGTGTGCGGTCTGTCTGCGATGGACAGAACCTGAAGAAAGAATGGAAAATTAATGCCAATTTCTCTCAAACGGCATGGGCGTTCAGCATCCTCAGGCGAAGCCCTGTTCGTACTGTAAGCGCTCTAGCTTATCAGTAAACTGATAATGCCAAAGCAGCACCGAGTGACTTTTGTGTTGGGTTTTTTAAGCTCAGTGGGCACCATTTCCTCGCCTTCATCTGTCTTGCTGCTCTGCTCCATACAGTATCTGTGGCGGCCGTGCAGGTCTCAGTATTTACTACGGCTTGAGCTATATTACCTCAAACTTCTATCTGTGGCTGTCAAGCTTTAACTCCAAAGCGCCTAAGCTGAGCGCCACAGCCACTTGCTTTTTAACCTTTGTTTACATACACTCGGATCGTTTTTTAACCGAGCAACGCCATTAAAACGTCAAAGAAAGTATTTTTTGCTAATAACAAATCAAAATTATCCAGGAGTTGGTTTCAAAAGTTGCAAAAATTCCCGACCGACCGACCAAACCCGAATTTCCTGACGTTAAAAAACCTCCGATAGGATCGACATGGTCAACAGTCTATCATAGAACTGTTGACCATGTCCCTAAAACGCTACTTTACGATAAAACCGCCGTTAAGACTTTACGAGATTACCCGTAAATTTGGACTGATCTAACCACAGGGGTCGCAGCAAACGCGAAAATGAGTGACAACACACCCGAATCCAAACGTTTCACAGCATGAAGCAAGTCGACAGAATCGTATGAATCGTATCCTTCCGAGTGCGCGACACTGAGGAATGCCAGCTTGCAGGGCAGAGGCAGTGGATGTGGAGGGAGGACTTGGCCATTGAAGCGACGTAGACGCCGCTTCCAAATGGCACTCCATATAGTTCGAGACACCATCACCTGCAGCTTCTCCAGTGTTGTATTCTGTTCTAGAGCTATGCACAACTCACTGAGGGTCGGATGATCCAGTGGCTCAGCGTACTCTTCAGCGTGAATCGTGAGCTCTCGTAGGTGTTTCGCCAGTCGAGTCGTCGAATCTCCTAGTAGCTTCATGAATAGCTTGCCGTCCCCGTCTCCAATGCCGTAGTAATCCTGAAACTGCAGCGTGGAGAGTACCGGCAACGCTTCCTCATCCGCTGCTCCAGTACCTTCATACAAGGTGGAGAATCGGTCCAAGTCGATGTAGCTTTCATCCAATGCGAGAGTTGTCAAGTTCGGACAGGACTTTAGGATGCCAGGCACCATTGCGTTCACGTCGATTTCGCGGTGAAACGCTAAGGACAGTTTACGAAGTGACCATCCAATCTGCTGGAGTAGCCCCTCTAAACCCTCGGCTTCTGTCTTAAGCGCAAGTGATAGAGATGACAAGGGCTCACCTGCTGGCAACTCCTGTCTTTCGGTCGCCACAGAGAGAACACTCTCACGACGCACACGACACTGCCCGTATGCTGGGATGAGGACGTCTAAGAAATCGTTTTCATCGTCGCATTTCTCGTCAGAATCATTCTGCACCAGTTCAACACGCGCGTCGTACGGCAGCGTAATCGAGCTACCAGCAGCAACTGTAGTGGAATCGCCTTCTTTTTCCACAAACTCCAGTGGCGTGTTCCCACGCAACATCCAGCGCTTCCGACAGAGATCCTATTGCGGACTGACTTGTGCGTTGTGTTCCTTCTCCTCAAGTACTGCAGTTATCTCCGCTAGATCCTCCAAAGTCAACTCCACGTCCGACAGGTCCAAAGCGCGAACTGAAGAGAAAGGCCCGACAGCAGCTGAGTTTGTGTGGAAGAATGTCTGAGCCACTGATCGCCAGAATCTTCGACGTACTTTGGGTGTTTTTCGCTCGTTACACGCACCAGGCAAACAAAGGTTCCGGATAGAAGCTTGAGTGACAGTTAATGCCGAACACAGCGCCTCAAATTGCCACAACGCCGAATCTTCGCAATCAATATGAAGGTCTGAGAAACAAGGAAGCTGTTTCTGCTTCGGTGTGAGTGGCCGTATCAGCATTCCAGTAAACAGATTCGCGAGGGTTTCGTGATATGCAGCTTGGTCTTGACTTCCTCCTGACCCATCCCTCAAACAAAGGTGGAGCTCACCTACAGGAACGCCATTGCCGAGAATCCCACACAAGCGTTGAGCCAAGAGGCGGTTCACATTGTCTCGGTGATGGACAGCTCTACCAAGCGGTAGATGAAGGTCCCGGCACTGTCAGCACAGTTTTCGTCCTGCTTTGACATCGAGTCGAGTGAGTCCGCGCGATTCTTCATCTTTTGCAGTAGCGTGCCGACATCTTTGAGATCTTCAGCAAGTTGGTCGGCACTTTGTGACCAGTTACCAAACTCGAGCGATACAGGAATCTCTAGACATGAAGGGACTCGTGGTCGAGCTTTCGACTGCATTTCTAAAATACGCGCTCTCGCCTTCTTGTATTCCTCGCCAGGTTGATACTGCGGAGCCTCAGCCAGGAAGAGTTTCTCCCACTCTTGCGTGGGAGACTCCTTTGGGTCAGGAAGGCGAGGAACTCCAGTCAACGAGACGAAGTCGAAGCGCGGCAAGAGATAACTCTGTCGCTCTTGACGTCGTTCTCGTTTTAGTGCATCAGGGGGGAGTACAAGCACATCGTCACCTTCCTCGTCGCTATCATCATCTTCATCACCTTCGTCTTCTTGTTCGTCTCCGATCGATCGGTCTTCGCCCTGTCGGTCCTCGTCTTCTCCCTCCTCGCTCTCTTCATAATTACTCAATATATATCGCCATCGTTATCACCAGGCAACATCATTCGAAACTCTTCCTCTTCCTCTTCACTTTCTTCGTCATCGAGTCTCAGTCCGCAGCGCTCCGACATGAGCATGTGGAAAGCTCGTGCATCCACTTTTGCCACAAGTGACAGCAGCTCCATCGCTTCTCTGGTTTTTCACAGACCTTTCTCAATCTCCTCGGGATCTTCTTTCTCTTCCCCCTGTTCATCGTCGCACGTCGAAGCGAAATGGTTTCTCGCGTTTTCGACGGGGGCCCAGCACACGAATGACGTTGTTGTGGATCGCCGTCACTTGGCCGTTGAGCTCTTCGCACCATGATGCCAAGAAGTCCCACTTCGCAGGGGAGTTGACGTCCATTATCATCGGGGTCTCCTGCTCCGAGACCCGCTGCCGCTTGCGCTCAGGTTCGCTGCCCGACATTTGACGAATGGTACCGGGTACCGTGCCGTTTGATTTGCAAAAAGCAATTTCGAGATGAATTGATCCGCTTTTAGTAATTTACTTTATTGTGCATTTGCAAAACAAAATGATACTTATGAACCTAGGTATTGTCAGTTTCATTCGAATTTGTGAGAATAGCCTGAATCGAATCGTTTTGGCGAATCGATTTCGAATCGATTCGTGCTATTTTTAGCCAGTCAGAAGGCTCCAAACGCCCGCCACTCATACCGGCAATGGCCAGGCAGTCAATGGGCGTCACGCGTCCAGAAAAACCATCATGCACGCCCTGTACGGCTACTTCTACCTGGGCTTGTCGAAACACCGGCTGGCAACGATCTACCACAAGCACATTAACACCATCTCGAACTGGATTCAACGCTTCGAGGCTGACAACGACTACGAGCGCCGCGCTACAAAGCAGACCGGTCAGCTCACAGCAGAACAGCGGGAGTGGTTGCTAGACTTCTACACGATGCACCCGGTTGCATTTCTCGATGAAGCGAAGGCTGCGTTTGAGCAACAGTTCGCACGCTTCATTTCGATCTCAACGGGTGTGGAGGGCCTTACATCAGCATGGGCTCACATGGAAGGTTCTCGAACGACGTGCGATGAACATCAAGATCAACGATATTGTGCGCTTCACGCTGGAGCTGAGCACGATTAAGTGGTGTCAAATGAACATTCAGCTCCTCGACGAAGTCAGCTTTGACAACAGGGGCATGCTGCGTTCGCGAGGCTACTGTTTGAAAGGAAAGAAGCTCGCGTTTCGTGGAGAGTTTAATAGGGAAAGCTCGGGTTTCCATGCTGTGTTTCTTATCTGTGGATGGGCTCGTGGAAACATTTCACACGGATGGGGACGTTTGACCGATCTAAGTTTATTGAGTGCTGCCGTGCACATGCGCATTCGGAAAAGACTGTACACCAGTATCCAGGAAGCGGCTCCGTGTGGATTATGGATGGTGCCAAGATCCATTGTCACCCCGACATCGTCTACTATCTGCGGTCACTGGGGATCATTCCCATTTTTCTTCCGGCGTATTGTCCATTTTACAATCCGATCGAGTATCTATTTGGCTTGATCAAGAAAGCATTCAAGCGGCAGTACGTCGAAGGGTCCAAGCAAAGTCAAGCTGTACTCATTGCAAATGTACTTCAGCAGTTCCAAGATTTCGACATGACGAATATTTTTGAGCACTGTGGGTGGAGTCGGACCGGCGAGTTTGACCCGACCTCGGCCCTGGGGGATGAGTACGTGAACATATCGCGAGCTGGGCAATTTGGCGTGGACGAATTGCTGGAGTTCTCCGAGCGCGGAGATCCTGATGATGACAATACGTGCTCAAGTGATGACTTCTAAGTTAGTGTTCTGGGAAATGCGTGCTTATTTGGGGTTTGAGTTTAGTGGTACTTGAAAGCAAGAGTCACTCATGGTCGATGTCCTCCTGATTTGGAATGGCGGCTAACACGGACGAGACCTCCGTACTATCTGGTTGTATAACCACGTCCTCACCCATGGCCTCGATAACATCCAAATGGTTCTCCAGCATTTGGTTCATGGAAACGATGGCAGTCTGCAGCACTTGAACTGTTTGCTCGAAGTGCTGAATCTTTGTCTGCATGCCCTGTACGACTTTCTTTGCCATCTTTACGCTGCGCTGCACACGCTGTAAGTGCTGTTCGCTTGAATTTGACGCAGGCCTGAACTGCGTCACTAGATTTGGTGGCGGGCCCTTGGCAATTTCTCGCTCGTGCTGAGGCCTGGGTTTCTTGAGAACGAGTGCGGCCGACAGGCGCCACGACATATCTTGTGCACTAAACGTAGCACCCCATTTCTCCTTCAGAGTAGTGATCATGCGTTGATGGAGCTCTTCTGTTGCAGCACCCCCACGATCGGTAGCAGCCGGACCGATGCACTGATCTTCAAAGTCTGCAAACTGGCCAACGGTGGATATCTCATTACCGTACTTGTAAACAGAGAGAATGGCGGGTTCCTCCTTGTGTTTCCGCAAATATTTACGATCTTTAGCACTTGACCACGGGTTCAGCACCTTGCCGTTCATCTTCAAAGAAGTGTACTTCTCAAACATCACAATTGCTGGTTCATGCTCATCAACCGTCCAGACTGGAGGTGCCCCAGTCGGAATAGCTAGTGGCTTTAACTCGCGCTGGATGATGCCCCAAAGCATGTTTTTCACCTCATCCCATGTGTCACTTTGAACCGCGTGTGTGCCTATCCGCAATCCCGATGTCAGACGCTGATTGACAGTGTTCTTCAACCGTACATCGACTGAGAGCTTGATCAACGGATCGTGCGAAGAAAGCGTCTCACGCTGCTGCTCAAGACGCGGGCTTCGCCTCTGGTAGGGTGAGGAACCCATCTCACGCTGATGTTGAAGATGGGGGCTTCGCCTCTGGTACGACGAGGACGCCACCTCTTGCTGTTGTTGAAGACACGGACTACGCCTCTGGTACGGTGAGGGGCGTGGACTCGGACCTAGAGCTACTCGCTCATGACTGGGATTGCTGTCGTCGAGCGAAACCCGTCGAGGAGAGCTGCGCCGGACCGGGGTTGTCAGGCTCATTGCCGAAGAAATACAAAGTGATGCAGGTAAACTCTGATTGATTAATAATGACAGCAAATCGATTCGAAAAACGCCATTTTTTCCTCCTGGTTCTACAAATTATAGCGGAAACGACAATACGAATCGCGATTTAAGCACCCTAAACGAAAGCGACCTCTATCTTTTGAGCCCTTACAGTGCTGCTACAAACTATAGACGCACTCAAGTTTCGCTTGTTAGATGAGCAAAATGCAAAGCCAGCGAGCGCCGTTTGGCCCTAAAGCCTTCAATACTAAGCCAAACTGATACCAACAGAGCGTTTCTCGATAGTGTCGGTATTGCAAGCAGGACCGAAAAATTTACGTTAGGGGGGTGTTCTAAACTATAGACGCACTTTTTTAAACCCGCTACTTGTCGATGGGGCCACCGTTTTTCAGCACAACCTGGGCCATACGTGTTGGCATATTGTCCACCAAGTCACGTAGGTAGCTTTGTTGAATTTCCTGCCAGCATCGGACGATTTGAGCCTTCAATTCCGCCTTGGAGTCGAACTGGCGCCCGCCTCGATACACAGACCACGCCAATTGCCCCCCACACGTTCTAAATAGGGTTCAAATCGGGGCTCTTGGCAGGCCACTTGAGTTTCTTGGTACCCAAAGCTTCAATATGGGCTTTAGTAAACCTCGATTCATGGATTGAAGCGTTATCCTGTTGAAAAACAGGCTTACGGATACCAAGGTTTTGACGCAGGTTTTCGATAAACGGAACCAAGTAGTTGTCAAGCGTGCGTGTGTAGCACACAGAGTCTTGTCTCCCCTCCAGAAACGCGATGTTCGTTTTGCCGTGCGCGCTCATGCCAGCTCAAACCATCACACTCCCTCCCCCACTCACCCGCTTGGAGTACAACTCAGTATCAGCCCTGACGTCGTGCCAGTAGTACTGGTAGCCGTCAGGGCCATCCAAATTAAACTTCTTTTCATCACTAAAGATGACACGCTCCCACATGCGCGTCTTGCTCAAATATTTTGCAGCAAATGCTGCACGTGCGACCTTGTGGTGAGGCTTGATGGCCGGAGAGGGTTTCCTCTTGATCCACGTTGCGGCACGAGACGAGCTCATTAGCCTGCGCACCGTACTTGGCTTGAGAACGTTGTCGAGCGCCTCGGCAATCCGTTTGGACGTGAATCGTTTGACTGTAGCAAGCCGAAAGACCCGTCTAGCGATCCGTTGGGTGACTTTTGCCGGCCTGCCGGTTTTCTTTGAGGGTAACGCCTTCTTTGGAGGCCTCATGATGTTGCGAACAGCATGGTCACTGCGCCCGATGGACCTCGCGATGTAGCGGTAGCTCCTTCCTTCCAAATGGAGCGGCTTGACCTTGCCGATCTCTTCGGGGGTTAGTTTGGATCCCCGAGGCATCGTTTGGAGTTGTGTCGGTCTCCCAATTGCGCCCTTCGGCGTCGAATTTCGCGCGCTTTTCGTGGGACCTAATTTTAGCTAATAAGAGGGCGTACAGGAAGCAAAAAAACATTTTTATAAAAAGTGCGTCTATAGTTTGGAACACCCCCTAACGTAATTTTTTCGGTCCTGCTTGTAATACCGACACTATCGAGAAACGCTCTGTTGGTATCAGTTTGGCTTAGTATTGAAGGCTTTAGGGCCAAACGGCGCTCGCTGGCTTTGCATTTTGCTCATCTAACAAGCGAAACTTGAGTGCGTCTATAGTTTGTAGCAGCACTGAGCCCTTACAAGCTACAGAATGCTTAAAACTGAAGAAGTTGTGGTCGCTCACAAATATTATCTCCATTTATGGGCCCTCGAAATGACGATACATTTAGGAGTGTTGTGAGCTCAATATTTTTTAATTTAAAAATTCAAGTGTTATTTTAAAGCTCTTGTTAAAATCAATTGAATAAGGGTACAGTAGGTTTACAGTTTTTCGATGGAAGTTTACAATAAATGTCACTGTTTCGGCTAAGTGCTAAAATTAATAGGCCAACTTTAAGCTCGATTATTTCGATAACTCTAAATGGGTCGTAAGTATCATTTTGTTTGACGTAGCCTAAAATATTTCAATGCCTCTGTCCTTTTCACTTACCCTGATGCTCGATTTTATTAAATAGAGGTCGTTTTATTAAATTGAGGTCTTAAAAAGTACAAATCGATCCACTGATAAATCGAGCAACGGCAGTTAAATCGACTGCTCGGATCGATCAACCGCCAAATCCACATCGATATCCTGTAAATCGACCCTATTCGCCGTTTTGACCTTGGTAATTCGATCACAGATAAAATAAATCGATGCCTGCCTCTTCCCATCTCATTTTTGCGGTGCTCAATCTAGACTTAAAACGGATGGACATTCCATCTGCAAAGCACAATACATGTTAGACAGGAATCACTATTCAGCGCTGTACTCAATATACGGTACACATACTGGCAGCGGTTCGGGCGGCCGGCGTTGCGGTTTCCTAACTACGAGGTGGCTCAACTGGTGCCGGCTTACGGTGGCATTTATCAATTCCGCGCCCAACACTGCAAAGCCGCTTTCACTTTCGCCCACAAAGATACCACCCACGTCGCGAAACAGGGTGACAAAGGCACAGCGACGACTGACCTGCCGCCACAAAGCCGACAATCCATCATTGAGGCCCAGCTTGGATTGTGGGCTCAAAACGTGTTTCAACTACAACGCTCTTTATCACAGACACCGATTAGAAGCATCCTGAAGCAGGAACACCTACTCGAGGTCATATCATTGCAAGCTCTGACCACAAAGTCGCACCGCTCGGCTCGCTTTCTTGAGTTAGACTTGGCCTCGCCAGACGTGAGCAACTTACTCGACGTCAAGTTGCGCAGACTCAAACTTCCGACGCGGTCGTCCATACCGGCGCAGTGCACGGGGCAGCTAGCCGTTATGCCTGCCAGTGGCTATCACAAGCCACGAGAGACTCAATGGCCTCTAGTGTAAGTGGGGGGGAGGCTCGGAAATACCTTTCCTCCCTGGTCTTGAGTTAAACCCAAGTTCCTTACGGAACCAGGCGTCGATGTAGACTGACGCAGGCTGAAGGCGAGCAGCCGGGTTAGAGCTGCGGTAGCTCTAGCCAAATAAGCCAGAGTGGCGACGGAAGCCACTGGCGCTAGGTGCCTCGGAATCGCTGAGCGAATCAGCAGCGTGTGGTTGCATGCAACCACACACCAGGTGAAGCTCGGACCTGGTCCAATCACCGCACAGGTCCCTTGGGCGTGAGCGACCTGTCGAGTAGGGTGAACGGAACGTCTCACCCGCCGACAAAGCGGTTGCGGTACGTGATGTACGCAACGCGCCGGATATAATGGGCCATGGAGCCATAGCCCAAGTGTGGTGCACGAGTGCACACACAACTGACCAGGTGGTGGTTGAGGCAACGCACGCAGTCGTAAGTGGTGCCGCGCCAAGCCTGACTCCGTGGTGATAGCTGCTTGCCTCACCATGGTTTGTTGCCCGTGAGTACTCGGTGTCAATGCAAGACACCAACGCCGCAGTGGCATGGTGGTGAGATATGCTTCACCACGGTCGGGTACCATCAAGGTATATGGTGTCTATGACATACACTGGTATGGGTGCAAATGATATGCACCATACCACGACCTGATGCGCTCTGGACGCTGTGAGTCAATGCACGTACCGTGCATCGGCACTGGCTGCTGTCGAGCAGCCTGCCAGGTGTTTCACGTAATGAACACGTCGTGCATGACACACATGAAGTGCACGGAGCACTTAGGGTAGCTGTAGTACGTGTCGTACACAGCGTACCTGGTGTACGGGCCCGTGGGCCTGTACACTGTGCTCGTACATGCGTCGTGCATGACGCGAGCACTGGCCATGAATCGGTTCAGGCGACAGCACAGCAGAAGCGGTTGCCGCCAAACATGGCAACCTTGTGGTGGACGTGCCGCGCGAAAGCTAGTACCGGGAGGTAGAGAGTGTCAATGGGAGACACCTGTACCACGACTGAGTACCATTTTGTCGACGAAGGAAGCCTACGTGCCGTTAATACGGCGACCAAGACACGAAGTGAAGTAGCAGCAAGGATGGATGCTTGCTGAAGCCAAAGGCATGGCCCCGGGTGGGCTGAGGCTCCCTCTAGTGCTGGGGCAGGTGTTGCCCTTCTCGGTGTCGTCCCTCGCGGGAGACACCATGCTCCGGACGCGTTCGCGAGGACTGTCATGTCCTTCGGTACGAGCTTTGGGTGAATACCACACGTTCGGATACTATTGCACCCTGTGCCAATGCACTTTACGCGCGCTAACGCAGGAGCTAAGGTAGCTCCGAGTGTAGGCTTTGCAGCCAACACAGTTCTGAGCATAGGGATGCCAATCCCAGTGTGCTTTGAGTGCACAAGTCACTGTGGATGTGACTGAGCGCTGCGACAGTCTCGTGGCTGCTCAGTGCGAGAATTCACATATGGGTGATTTAACAATCTCACTTCGGATTGGGGAATCACGCCGACCATTGCACCTCCGCTTCGCTGTGGGTGCAAACGGTCTCTATAAGCCCTCATTTGGTATAGTTATCCATGCGTGTAGCCCTCGAAGGTAAGACATCGAGTCAGGAGTCCTTCCGGCTGTACCAATATATCCTTTTGTTCTGCCATTTTTTCAATTTACTTTTTGAGAACTTAGCTGTACTCGTTTTCCTGCTTTTTGTACTCGTGATGAGTCTCTTTTCCATGATTGAGCTGGCGGAGGACGAGATGGGAATTACGTAAAGATCGGTTGTTCGGCCAAGAGCATCGTGGATTCCAGTGGGGCGTACACGACGACAGCAGCTTAAAAATTCTAAGCGATCTACTCGTGAACAAGACAAACGACCAGAGCGAGAGAATGCAAACGGAGAGAAGAAGAAGCCGCTGTTTTTCACACACTACACCATCTCCAGTCATGCGACGTTTCGACTCACCACCGGCCTGGTACACAGAGATGGAAAAGCCTACCTATCTTTGCTCTATAAAGGTAAAGCTCACAAAGACGCTATGAAAAGATACTTAGTTCTGAGGCATTTCACGGACATGGAGCTCGGCCGTTTCTTGGATGGAATATATGCTGAGGAATTTGAGAACGATACCATTGCGGTCATGGGCGACCATGGCCAAACACCGAAAGCAGCACCCACGATGGTATGTACGGCGTGTGGCTTCAGCTATCATTGTGAAGGAGAGATTAAGTAAAGCCGAAGGGCGATGAGTAGTTTTAGCAAATGTCCATAATATGGCACCGATGGCAGATGATGAAAGCATATTTTGCAAAACAATGAGAGCTAAAAATAGATTTTAAGCTAAGCTGACTCCTTTCGCTCTTGGCTCCTTTCGTACCTCAACCATTGACCTTATATAAATAGTCATTTGTCTAATTTCGTGTATTTCTGCATCAGATGTCATTTTATACCACTCTTAAAAATTCCGACCTCCGACCTGTGGCAACAATTTGGTACATCAAACAAAAAATGTCAACGGACTTTATTTGACAGCTACTGTACCTCACGGTAATCAATGTGTTTGGATGTGTAAGGATGCCAAGGCGCGATTTGAAAAGTCAAAAGAGAGCGTGTTGTGTCAAGTTTATAGGCGGCTCAGAATCGCCTGAAACGGCCTGTAGGCTGAGAAAAATGCAAAAAACAAAAATCCTGCAAATCTGATTGAGAGTGATGTGCTCTCGAGCCAGTAAAACGGAAAATGAAGCCGAACGTGATGGTGATCCGGAAAATCAAGCACTATCCGGATACTCGAGGAGAGTGGCAGTCAGCCATCGATAAACGAGCATGATTGAACAAGCACCGTCCAATAAAAATGCACCATTTAGCTCCGTACATACACACAACCAGTCAGTTTCCAGCCGCAGACAGCCAACCGGTGTTGCCGACAGCACGATCACCATTTTTTTCGCTACTGAGCAGACCTTCTCCTCGGCCTCTGAGACCGCACAGGCCGTCCAGGTCGTACCGTACGTATCCACTAAGGAACCGCACCCCCCCAATCCCCTCCCGTCTTGAACGACAGCGTAGCTCAATGGTGAGCGCGCAGAGCTGTGTCCTGAGGGAGCTGGTTCGAATCCAACCGTTGTGATTTTTACTCAGCTATGTGTGCTTACTGCTCTCGCAGTTTTATTGCTTACTACTATGAACGCAGCTTCATTCATTTACTGGCGCTATATGCATTCAACATGTATGGCTTTTGATCACTCATGTCCTATAGGGCCGTAGCCACAGGCTCAAGGAGATCTTGGCGATCAAGCGCTTGGACAGCGCTGAGTGAAGCAGCTTGCGTTAGCGCGCGATCATGTCGTCGAGTGCCCCAGCAGTGTGAAGGTTGTGCAGGTGCTTCCGGACGTGGAGCCACGTGATTTGATCTTGCGAGGGCTGAGAAAGCTTAGCACCGCTAGCTCTGCCCTCTTATCAAGACTCAGTATCTTGTCGCGGTAATCGGATGCGCCTGGATCAAGGGCGAACCCGTCGGGCAAGAAGAGCTTCATGAACGCGACGAGCTGTTTAGCGCTGGACTGCTGTTTTTTGGGGGAAGCAGCAGGCCAACGAGGCTCCTGAGCGTACCACGTGTACGCCGTCTAACGTAGCGTGATTGACCAGTTAGTCTAGCTAGTTATGCACCAAAATGAACGCATGGATAATTTAGAAGCTATAATGGAAAGTAACCCACACGCCGGCACGCATCAGAACAGTCAAGATCAAGAACAAAAACGAAGCAATCCACTGAAGCGTCGACGAACCTCCGTCACTAACCTGCACAAGGTGCTCAATGAGCGTGTTGTCTTGGCTTAGTTGCTTGGGCGATGCGGTTTCCATGTCGTGTGTAGTAGCGGGTCGCTTCGTATTGCAGGCAGCACCAGCGAGATGAGTCTTCCAAGCTAGCAGGCCTACCAGAAACGACCCTGCCAGCAGCACACAGGCCTCCAAGCGCTTCACCGCTGACCCCTGGGGATGAACCTCCTTCAGCTGCGGATGGTGGAGAAGAAGGTAAGCTGTTAGCACATCAAGGACACGCTGACTCATGTTGTACTTGACTTGGTCTAGCTTAAAGCATGTAGTGAGCAGGTACGCCTGAACAGCTTCGATTTTCTCACGCTTCTGCGCATCGAAAAACGTTAAGTCCCTCAAAAGTACCTTAGCATTGGTGATGTACCCACTGAGAGCCTTGCTAACCTTGTGATCTTCGCGGCTTGTGTTGAAGACGAAAATAAAATCCTTGTTCGTTGTGCTCATGCTTCAGGCGCCGCGGTCGAAGATCCAGCGATGCGTGAGGCCGTCACACCCATTGACGTGCTGTGCTCCGACCCGGCGAAACGAATTGGAAGAGAGATCCACCTCAACGCCAGCGATTGCAGCGGTCCGGTCAAGCCCTCGGTTGACGTGCAAGTAGATGGTCGGTGTCCTTTCAGCAGCAACACGTGACGACGTGGCGCTAGCGGCAGCTCCAAGTGAGGCATACTCGTCAGGGTGGTCAAGCACCTCCAGAAGCGGCGTGGCTGGACAAGGAGACGGCAGCTTGGACAGGCAGCGCTGGCAAGTTGTAAGCAGATCGATGCATGGAGACCCCTGCGTTACGCGCGCCAGCGCGATGACGTATACTGGGCAAGTCACGAAGTCGAGATCAGGAGAGAGCGGGAGGTCTTGTTCCTCAGACATCTTGAGCCGGATGAGGCGCACGAATAGGATGCCGGCGGCGTCGATGGTGATGTTCCGCTTCTGCACGAGCGACAAGTCGGACGCGCGTCCGAACGGCTAACACAGTAGCTCTGCGTCTTAATTATAGCTCGAGGTAGACGCATTCTTTTACAAATAAATCATCAACTTACATAAATCGGTCTTAGAGCAAGGTGGTGCTTTACTTACGACATTGCCATTTCTTTTCAGACAAAATTTGTCTAGCGTCTTCCCCATACTAAGCAGCGTTGCTTCGACAATGTGTCGCTGTGTAAGGAAGAGTTCGAAAAGCCACATTTTAGTCTACCTATAGTACTGTATAGCTGTATTATGGGCAAATTGTTTGCCCTTCTTGCCTTCATTAAAGGCAAGATACACACCAAACAGATCTAATGTAACGGGGTACGTAGCCCCTAAGTGTACCCCTGGTTACATGAAGTGTGACACTTCAAACTTCAGGAGTATGACACGTCATACTCCGAGATATTTGGTACAAGGTACCAAGGTCGTTCAAAGCCAACCATTGGTTAAATGACATTGCATTTCTATAGGTAACTAACAGTTTGTATTAAACCCAAACTTAATCTTCCTATAAATATACTCAGTTTCAATCTACCTTATTTGGGTCACTTCGCTCTCTTTAATAAAAGAGGGGACCTGTGAACTGCCGTTCACTGAGAGTTTGTATACTCTCGGAAGATAACTTCCTCTTGCGCAAGGTGCTGTGTGACCCCGTCACACTTGGTAGCACTTGTAGTCAATCCACGCCATCGCGGGTAGACTACCTGAACCTCCGAAGTTCGTTGCCATGGATAGGAACGACTTCTCCCATTTGAACGACTCTCAGTTCGAGTCGGTTCGGAAGATGGCAGGCATCTTCGGGATGGAGGCCCTGCAGAGCCTGGTGGTGTCAACACCGGCTGAGCAGCTCGAGCGCGTCAATGCATTCGACGCGTACGAGCAGGGCCTCATCGCGCATGTGCGGGAGAACCTGCAGGCTCCGGCGGCGGAAGCAAATCCGCCTCACCCGAAGCCAATACGGCTGAAGGTAAAGCCGTATGAAGGGAAGGAAGGCGAGAACCTTCACTTCTGGGTCCGAGAAGTAGAGCTCGCGATGGACGCGGCTCTGATCTCGACCGAGCAACTGCGTGTTGCTTTTGCACTCTCCAACCTTAGCGGTCGTGCTAAGAGTTGGGTGTACACTCGGGAAGCAACATCCCCTGGATGTTTCACATCCTGGGCTCAGCTGTGCGAACAGCTCCGAGCCGCGTTCCTCCCGGCGAGCTACGAGTACCGCCAGCGTTCGCGCTTCCTCGCGTGTAAACAAGGAAGGCGCGAACTGCACGAGTATGTGCAAGAGATACGGGAGCTCACGGCGTCCCTAGTGGGAAACCCACTCAATGAACACATCAAGATGACTGTGTTCATGAACGGCCTTCGAGTGGGCCCCGCACGCACTCAGCTGTTCCGGGTGCAGGCAAGCACCCTTGAAGAGGCGATTCAAGTGGCTCTCAAGAAG